ACAGTGGAACCTCGGTATACGACCTTAATCCGTTCCTGGTGTTTGGACTTATACCGAATAGGACGTATACCAAACCAACCTTTTCCATAAGAAGTAATGTAAAAATGATTAATCTGTTCTCATAAAAAAAAATGGCTGGCTTTAAACACCTCACTTTCCTGGCTAGTTCCTGCTTGATTTTTCATGAGATCAGCATGTATCTTTCTAGCTTTCTCGCAAATAATTGCTTCTGATACGATGCCACCAGCACACTGTTTTTCAGTTATCCAAAGCAAAAGCAATTTCTCAACATGATCTAATGTCTTCGATCTCTGTTTAGAAATTAATTTAACCCCTTTCACAACGTTAGCAGATTTAATAATGTCTTTATTTTTCACGATTGTCGATATCGTCATTCTTGGAATACAGTATGCAACAGTTAAAATCTTGAACACGCATGCCACCTTCATATTTCTCAACAATCTTTTATCAGTTCCATTGTGATTCTAGTCATTTTTTTAGTTTTCTGTTGCTTTTCATTTGCCTTTTTGCAATTCATGATTCATAAAAATAATAAAATTTTACATACAAATTAAAACCAGAAGAAATTTAACCAAGTTATAAACCGTTGCACCGCAAATGTCTAGTCTGATCTAGTACACCAATAGTGCTACTTGTTCGTAGATGGCGCGTATAATTGAATTAAGTCGTATACCGAGCAAAATTTGTTTTGTCCAAACAGGACGTATTCTAAAGCAGACGTATACCGAGGTACCACTGTACAAGCAATGCAAATGTATGAATGTGCAGCAATGTGAGCACTGTGTGTTCTGATGAAAATGTCAGAAGAAATAATTATAGCTGTGGCCAGACATTTGGTCAAAAAGTAAATGATTGAACAAAGAAATATACATGTAGGAAATTTTAATAATTTACTTATATAAGGAAAACAAAAAGAGAACTTCAAATACATTTTAGAATAACAGATTGCAGACTTGTGATACAATAGGCAAAACTCTGCTTTTCATAAACATCGTTTATTAAATTGTTAATTGTAATATTGAAAAAATAGTATTGTGATCTTATATCATGATTATAAAGCATTCTGCAGGAAATTTTAAGTAAGTGAAAAAATATTAAAAACTGATAAGATAATCAAAAACTTAGTGTAAAATAAAATGATAATTAGCTTCAAATATTATATATAAATATAATAAAAATAAACATTTATAACAATAAACATAATATATATGAAATAAAATGATGCCCAACACAATAGTATAGTTTCAAAAGAAAAGAGCAGTAAGATTGGAGTTGACAACCAAGATAGTAACATCAGACACGGCATTGAGAAAATCAAAACAGTATTACCAGGTATTAAACAAAAGTCTGACATCTATCATTGAGAAATATGAGAAGTATCTCAAAATTAAGTTTTTTGAAAGTAAGTGTTCACAATTTTTAAATATTTAAGATAATTTATTTTTTTACAGAAAATATACTGAAGGATAAATTAATTTAATTGTATGTGCAATAATTTTTTTATATCATGCAATGATATTATCCTTATATTGTTTTTAAATTGTTTTATAAAGAAATTGCTTTATAAAACAATTATAGATTAATTATAGAGAACAATTATGAAGAAAAATTCCAACCAACATTAACAACATTAAAAACAAAATACAAATGTTGGCTTGCTCAGACATCCATTCAGGCAAATGTCTGGGAGCCAGTTATAGCTGCTGCTGCTGTTTTTCTAGTGATTAATTCAGCAAAGTAAAAGAGGGAAAAACCTCATAAAGACAGTTCGATTTAGCTTTTCTATGTGTAGTCAAATTTAATCGTTCAGCAGTCTCATTCCATGTGTTACTTCTTTGTTTAAAGAATAGTAATATATATATATATCTTTCAGGTCTCACAATAAAAAGATATTTACAAAAAATACTATGTAATTTCAAATATTACTTCACTCCATGCTTTCCAGTTACTTAAACAATAAAATGAACTAATTCAGACAACAGCAGATGTGAATCAATATTGAGAACAGGTGTGTGAATGCTTTATTTTGAACACTGACAAAAAACTGAAACAAATTGTATGCATTTGTAGTGACTCAAGCTTCTACATACATACATACATACATATATATATGCTGAAAAGAAAGACATCTAATCTGCATATTCATGAATGCTCACATCATGTGCACTTAAATTTGTATGTATCTTTAAATGTATGAAGAAAATTACCCAAATTATCAGTGATGGAAGGGATGCTGACTTCATGCTCTATGTTAATACCATAGAATTTTCAAGGAAAAAAAAAATAAGTTTTTATAACTAAACTGAAAATATGTCTTTAAAGACATTTGCAGTTTCACTGTAGATGTCTTAAATTATAATTCAGAAATCACAAATCTTTTGAATTAGAAACTGCTTATGTAGACAGCCTAAATTATCATCCAATTTAGTACCTGTTGTTGTTCCATTTATTACTATTAATAAAGTTTTCTGAAGCTAAAATTTAAACTTGAATGTCAAAGATCAGATCAAGACATTCTTAAGCCTGGTACTCACATGTGGAAACGGATGATGGAAACCATTGACAGAAAGACAAAATGACGTCACTTTTACCGTTGAAGCCAATGGAATATGAAGTTGAAAATTTTCAACTTTTGCTGTTGTGGAAAGCAGAATGGTATAAACTAGACCAATAGGAAGGCCATTTGGCAATGTCATCATAAAGATCACGTGGGATGATAGCATTCAAACTATGGTGGTCGGCAAGGCTAAAAAGCTTTATTTATATACTAATATGCTGATATATTTCATTTATATGCTATATTACTATCCGATTTTAATATTAATGTCAATCCTAACTTTCAATGATTTAGAATATTTTTTCTATCCAAATTCTTTGTTTTTGAGCTTTTTTTATTTGCAATAAGATCGTAGGCAAACTTAGAAAGTTTAATTGCTATAACAAAGTAATCCCAGTAGACGCTGTTTTCAACTACCAGCACATGGCCTACCTACCATAGTAACTGTTTATATTTACAGCTGGCAAATGGCACACATTTCAATTGTAGGGTATCTTCCACATGCCAATACATGCAACATGGAAAGACGACAGAACGACAACTGTTTCTGCCGTCTTTCCGTGTTGTATGGTTTTAGTCATCCATTTCTGCATGTGAATACCAGGCTTTATTCATATATTTTTCATTGAATAATTAATTTTTCCCATATAATTGGGAGACTATCCAACAGTTTTTTATAAAAAAAATTTATACCAAAGTTATCTTTCTCTATACAAAAAATTGTTTAAATAATTGTATTTCTGAAGTAAAATAGCTTTACATTGTCAAAAATTGTATTTTTAATTTTCATCTTTTTTCAATGAAATTAATATTGTTAAAGAATATATTATTTGGAATTTTATTTTAAAATTTAGTTATGATAATGCTAAAGCTTTGAAAACATTTGTAGTAATAAAAACATATCAATATTATTTTAAAATTTCTCTACTATTTTTGACACAGAAAAGAAATTATACTGTTGTCAAAGCACTAACCTTCACCAATTAATGATTCTAATCCTAACTCTTTGGCAATAGCTTCTTCAAATTGAACTTCTGAGAGATTATCATTTGTTAAAATGTTTTCTTGCAATAGAGAAAATTCTCCAATAGCACTGGTATTTGGAAGAAATTCATCTGTTTCACTTTCATTATCTTGGCCACTGGAAGCATCTTCCAAAAATAATGAAAGTAGAAATACCATAAATTTGTTTTTGATACCCAAGCATACAAAATTTTTAATGCAAAGAAAAAATTCTTACTCTGGTTTTTAACAGTAGGAAATATAACATCTTTTAATTGATCGTATAAAGTTGGTGGTAGAACAAACAAGACGATACCAGGTCCTAATAAGACTGTCATCACTGTCAAAATAAATAAAGTAATTTTAAGACCACTTTCTAAATAATACATATTTTAAATTTCAGAATATTATTAAAAATAATTCTAAAAAATATTTAAATGTATATAAATATACAAAATTTTAATAATAATAATAATAAACTTACACTCACATCATACAGACATAACACAACATATAAAAAGCATAGACACCATCAAGCAATCATGGGCTCAAAAGGCACTCCACAGCAGGCATCCTTATGACCTGGCCCAAGATTTTGTTGACAAAACTGCGTCAAACAACTGGTTAGATCAGGGATGCCTATTTGGGGAGACGGAAGGATTCATGATTGCCATACAGGATCAGGTCATAAATACTAAAAACTACAGAAAACACATACTCAAAGATACAACACTCACAAATGACACATGCAGAAAATGTCACATCATGCCAGAAACTATACAACACATTACTTCTGGGTGTAAGCTCTTGGCATAGGCAGATTATTTACACAGACATAATCAAGTAGCAAATATAATACATCAAGAGCTTGCAAAGAAGCACAAATTATTAGACAACCACGAACCATACTACAGATACATTCCACAGACAGTATTGGAAAACAACACGCACAAACTGTACTACGACAGAGCCATAATCACAGATAAAACAATTTACCACAACAGACCAGACATCATACTCATTGACAAAGACAATAAAATCACATACATTATAGACATAGCCATTCCAAACACTCACAATATACAAAACACATTCACTGAAAAAATTAGCAAATACACAGAACTCGCCCAGGAAATAAGGCATATGTGGAGGATGGAAAGGTTGTTTATTGTACCTGTCGTTCTCTCCTGTACAGGTGTGATACCACACACACTACACAAAAGCCTAGGAACATTACAACTGAATAGAAATATATACATCACACTACAGAAGGCCACTGTATTGAATACATGCCATATTGTTAGGAAATTCCTGAATACAGACACTGACACTTATTTTAGTTTTGTTTTCGTTGCTATGCCTTGACTCTGGTCCGGCATAGTACACAGCCACTAGTGTCAACCGAGTATAAACCACTAAACCCAACATAATAATAATAATCTAATTTCATGTCAAGTATTATCTAGATTAGTACAGTCACATCATTTCTCCAAAGCTAATTTTAACATTCTTATGTATCCCAATAAAAATTCTTTTGTTAGCTTTTTTAAATATATAGAGCAATCACTTTTTGATACTTTGAAAAATTAAATCTAAAGTCCTCATTTTTTATTTGATACTCTAAAATTTGAATTTTCTATTAAGGAACTAAATATCACCAATTACATTTTTATAGTGTTGCTATAAAAAAAAAATGTGGTTGTGTGATATTCAATTGCTTAATAGAAAATTCAAATTTTAGAGTATCAAATAAAAAGGGAACACTTTTTGAAAAATTGAATCTAAAGTGATTGCTCTATATTTAAAAAAGTTAACAAAAGATGTAAGGATTTTCATTGTTTTCATAGCTTAACTTAATCACAAAGCTTGATAATTTGTTTCCAATTACCATTCATTTTAAACAATAAAATACATTTTTATATCAAAGTTAATAAAACTGTATTTAATTAAAATTATCCTAGATTTATTTGTTTATTTAGTTATAAACAGTAACATTAAATATAGAGAACTTGAAGCTGAGAAAATAATATATTCAAAGTTATCTGGATAAATTTCAATATGGAAACACTCCACAGATGATTCACACTCAAAAGATAATATAAATAGCTTTTAAATTTAGGAGAAAAATTTAAGTTTTTTTTATGAATATACCTATGGCCATAATAAACTAAATATCAAGATCAATAACAGAAAAAAATAATTTTTTCACAAATCAATTTCTTTTTACTTAAATTCAAAAACATATAGTGAAAACAAATTATCTTTGTAGCAAGTTCTCCATTCAACTTTATATTTAAGTGATTAAATATGCTTCTGAATGTAGCTGAAAATATTTACAAATTCTCAATTTATTTCATCATATTATTTTCAAATTACTTAATACTATTAGCAAATTATAATGTAATTTAAAAAATAATTATTATAAAATCTCTACTTCATCTTTATTTTATGATCTAACTTCATAATAATAAAATGCTTGGTGAATGCATCTAAAATTACATACAGAAAAAGACAACAATGCTTTCACTTTAATATGTTGCAATAATTTGGAATAAATTATAAAATTTCTAAACACAAAATGTAAATAAGTACTACAAAAATAACTTGTGAAAGTATAAAAACTGTTCCATAAAATATGTCAAAACACAAGTTAATATTCACTTCACTTCTAACAAGAAACGTTCAGTGCTTTCTACTGAGTTTTGAGGCTTAAAAAGTACAATTTTCTGAAGAAAAAAAATTAGAATGAGAAGGAAAAATTTTAAAATAGCCAAAACCATCATTTACTGGAGAATGTTCAATAAAATATGATGCTATAAGCCAGTTTTCAACCTGTGGGTCGCAGGTAAAAGAAAAAGACAAGTGTTTGTAGGTCCTACACTACATTAAAAAAACTACAATTTCAGTGAGAATTACGGCCCACCCCAGAAAATGATAGCCGAAAAAATGTTGAGCTGATTTGCAAAAAGAAATAAGAAGTAGAAGCTGAAAATTCTAATCCTAAAAAAAAAAAAAATAAAAAGTCAACAGCTCCCTGTGCCCAATGTTATAATTAAAGGAAGTTTCATACTTTGTGTGTGTTAAGTTATTGTCGATTCTTCTGAAATTTTCATTTTAATCAAAAATAATTTGTCTCAACAGAAAAAAAAATTAAATACATAGTTTTTAAAATCACTGATATAGTTTTAATATGGCCCATAAGGGGGGGGTCGCCAGAATTTTTTAACTTGTAAAGGGGTCGCATATTCAAGAAGGTTGAAAAACACTGCTATAAGCAGTATACAGTATATTTATTTGTTAAAATATTCTTATTAACAAAGAAAGGAAAGATAATTAATTTAGTATATTTTTTATTTATTTTCTTTCAATGTGAAAATTTTCTACCAAAAAGAGTCCCACTCATTAGAACTACAATAATAATCTTTAAAAAATACAGAATATCATGAAAATTGTTAATTACAATATCAAATTAAAAATTTTATAATACATTATTGTAAAAAGCAATCAATCCTTTAAATATAGAAAAACAATGTAGACTATATTTGTTTTTATTCTGTGCTTCTTTGAAACCTTAAATATCAATCAAGTTGAAATTTAAGAGAATAAATTTTCTTCTTTGAAATTTTCTTCTTCTTAAAATAAATTTTCTTCTTCTTAATGCTTCTTTGAAACCTTGAATATCAATCAAGTTGAAATTTAAGAGAATAAATTTTCAGATTAAATCCAAGTGCTAAAAGTGTAAGCAAGCATCTTTTCCAGCAAAATTAGAAAATTTGAGATTCAAAAAGCACTCACTGTATCTTCTAGTTGGTAAATGTTAATTTAAAATCAAAATTATTTTAAATGTATGGCTCCAAAAACACCTTAAAATCAAAGTAAAATCAAGAATTGCTAAATTGAAGCCTAAATTTAAATTGTTTTTATGGAGCACTAGCTGGACAACAAAAAATGAATGCTTAATCAGGGTAAACATTAAATCAAGAAATGTTAAAATAGAATTTCATTGTATGTTGAAATAATGATAAACTCAGCAAATTTTCAGCTTTTATTAGAGCTAAAAGTATGGTGTATACAAAACCAAAGTAATTAGTGCAAATAAAAGTCAAAAATTTACTGAGTGTGTTGGTCCTGGAATTATTGTTATTAATTAAATAGCAGTAAACATTCTCCTAATTTAATGGATAATTGCTACAACAGTTTAAATATACCTGGAGCAAAAATCTTCCATGATCTTCATTGGAATATGATTAAATACTAAAAAAACTATTGCCAAGATTTAATTTAAAGCAATTTAATTTTTTTGTGTATAAAAATTTAAAGGTTTATCCATTTACTGATCATAAGATCTTGCATTACATTTACAAAAGAACAAGTAGGAAGAAATAGCATAGCCAAGAATATGCATTAATATAATAGGCTTTTTCTTTTTATTAAAAAAACTGATCCTGTGTTATTACTTAAGACAAAAAGTAGGAAAATTAAGATAATTTCTTAAAGAGAAGATTATTTCCTTCTAAAAGCTACAAAAAAAAAGGATTAATATGAATGTTAATAAAAATCATGTATAGTGGTATCTTATATGTATAGTAGTTCCTTTTTCATCTGAATCATCAATATTACAGACTTCTTACTTGTTAGACTTCATTGCTTCCAAACACATTAACACATTATTGCTAATACAGTAGAGTCCCAAAAACTCGGCACTCGATAACCCGGAAGTCCGGATAACTTGGCCACACCCTGGCAGGACGAAAAAACTTCTAGTTAATTTTCATTATAGACAGATTTATGCCTCTTAAAGTATTTTTCTGAGGTCTGCCTTATCAGGTAAATTACTGTACACTGTGTATTCATTAATTTTCATTTTCATTTAGTAAAGGCTCTATGCCTTCATAAAGTATATATTTTTTCTTTGTTTAAGGGTATTTGGGCAGTTTATTCTCTGTTGTATTTTCAAGCAAACAATACATACAAGTACAGTACAGTATTTTCTGAGGAAACACTCTGTACTTATTCTTTTTTAACCCCATTCCCGATAACCTGGCATTTTCACAAACTCGACCACCCTTTGGTCCACATTAGGCCGAGTTTTTGGGACTCTACTGTATGAGATTTTATTCTTTGTTTAGAAGCTTATTTTATGTTTCAAGTGCATTTTTTCACTGTGTGCATAGTTCAGATTTTGATGCACTATTTGAATTCTGAAGCACATTTTTTTCAGATTTAGAATTTGAACATTGAAGTGTTCAAAGCAGAAGGTACCACTGTAGTTTCAAATATTTTTGAAAGTTTACATGTATACAGAATAAATAGTAAGAAAAGCAAGATCAATTTTAGATTTGTAAAATTAAAATGCTAACCACTTTTATGTTCTACAGTGAGCATTTTAATTTTGGTTAGCATAAAACTCTTTTTGAAACTGTCAAAAAGTTTCATGTTCTGCAATCAAGCATTAATACTGGAGTTGCACACAAAAAATTACACTACATTAGCATTCCAGTACTTTCTACATACAAAAACCACCACATTTAATTTTCAAGGCATTTCTGACAAAAATAAAATTGTATTTAACAGTAATCTGCAGTGACTAGTTTTAAAACCAATAATTTATCTATTCTGATTAAATCATACAAAGTTATGGCATCTAGAGTTCAATTATGACAAAATATAAAAATTTCATATTCTTATATAATAAGAATATGAAAAGATATCAAACCAAAAACAATCAAACAAGATCAATGAATAAAGAAATATAAAAAGATTACTCACTGATTTTTAACATTTTGTATAAAACTTAAATTTTTTTAATAGTTTTATTATTTTATGTGGACGTAAATTAAAAAAACGTTAAGATAGGTATGTTACACTGTTTTTTGGATACTTTGTTAGTATTAGTGTTATATTAATATTGGACAATAAAGAAAATGTAAGCAATTTTATCTTATCTTAAATATTATTGTCGTATATAATATTACAAAATTATTACAAAAGTTGCTTCTAGCCCTTGGTATAATTATATTAATTAAATTATCAACAACCGTGAAGCAGATAATAGTGAGGGCTTATCAGATCAATGATGGGCACAAACACTCAAGGATCAAAGTGAAAATGTTTATTAAACACAAAAATGACTACATAAGTATAGAAATGAAAAACCCAAAATGCATTTCAGACCATTTTCCGATAGAAAATAGTCCCTCATCAGTTGGTATTAACTAAAGGTAATGGTACATTAAAATTATACAAGGTAAAGGTAAACTTAAAACTATGCCTAAAGCTATACAATATAAAGATGAAAATGCTGTTATAACTGTATGAGCAGTAAGCATTATTAGTGTAGACAGGTGTAATAAACCTTCGTAACATTGCATGGTGGTGTGATGTATAGTGTGCTGATACAAAACAGTCATAAGTTAGACAATTATTGGTTTACAGTTATGAACTAAAGTTATACAGACAGATTATGTACAGTACATACCAAAAACAGTAAGATGACAGAGTTGCAGGTGCCTGCATTACAACAAGGTGCTGGGAGCGGTAGTAAGGGAGGTGTGTAACAGTCCACATCTGGTGCACAAGTGGTGACAATGTATAATACAATTACAAGTTTTACAACAGTTTTTAACAATATATAGTCGTAACATCACAAAGATATTTAGTTTTTAAAAGATATAATTGTGCCATCCTTCATCAATTTTAACATGTAGATTATCATTAATTCTATTAACATTATTAATTTTTAAAATCTCTATGTTCAAAATATTTACGTTTATAGGTGTTAGTTTTGAATTTTAGTTTTTATTGTACTTTTATCTATTTCACATCCATATAGATTGCAGTGTTTAGCAACTGCAGAGTATTCAGAATTGTATTTGATGGCGTTTGTGTGTTCTTTTATATGAACTTTGAGGCATCTTTTTGTTTCACCTACATAGGTCATAGGATTATTACAGTTGCAGTTAAACCTGTATATCACATTGCTTTTTTTAAGGACATTAGTCATATTGTTTGGGTGGTTTGGTTGGATGTATTTTTGGGTTTTATTACAAAGGTCAGGGACTAAATTAATGTTGATACTGTTTAAGACCATTTTAATTTTCTCAAACATATTTTTGACATATGTAAGTTAAAAGAACTTTTTTGCATTATTGTTGTTAATGGGATTAGTGGTATGGACATTGGTGTTATTATTACACTTAAAAGTACTTCTAGCCATTTGTCTAGAAGTACTTTTGGGTAATTATTTAATAAGAAGGTCTTAACAACGTCTGTAATCTCAATATTCTTTTTATAATCAGAGGTAGTTCTATTAAATATCTTTTTGATGAAATTGACAAAAATGTTTCTTTTTACGAATAAGGAAGTATGTGAGTGATAGTTCATGACTTTATTAATGTTACATGATTTTTTGTAATTTTTCTATTTCAAGAGTATTAGAATGTCTAGTAACTAAAACATCCAGGAATGGTAATTTATTGTGAAGTTCATTCTCAAAAATTGTTATCAAGGCCGTTAACAGTTGTAACCAAATCATTAGGGTTTAAGATTACAGGGTCATAGATTATAAAACAATCGTCAGCATATCTGTTGAAGAATTTGATTCCATGGATGATATTAATGGATGTATCAATATCGATAACACTTAGTTCAGCTAATGTAGGGTCAATAATGGACCCATAGGTATGACAGATTTTTGAATATAGTATTTTCCATTAAATTGAAAATGATTGTTTGATAAAATAAGGATGACAAGGTCAATGAGCCAATCAGCACAATTAATGCTCATACAGTTATAATGGCATTTTCACCTTTATATTGTATAGCTTTAGGCATAGTTTTAAGTTTACCTTTACCTTGTATAATTTTAATGTACTGTACCATTACCTTTAGTTAATACCAACTGATGAGGGACTATTTTCTATCGGAAAATGGTCTGAAATGTATTTTGGGTTTTTCGTTTCCATACTTATGTAGTCATTTTTGTTTATTAAACATTTTCACTTTGATCCCTGAGCACTTGTGCCCATCAGTGATCTGATAAGAATATAATATTGTTTTGAAGAAGTTTTTCGTACAATTGTTATAGAATCTTGTAAACCTGCTGAAGAGAAACCTTCAGGTCCAAAACACACAAAAAGATTAAAATAAAGATATTTTATTTTGACTTTTGACTAAGATTTCCTCTCTTTGCTAATCAGAAACTACAACAGTATAATAAGTCCTATTAACAAACAAGGTCACGTAGTCAATACAGAAACATAAACAACATATGATTATTATTATTCTATTTATCATTTTATTTTATGATATTTTCATGAAGTTACAATGTTTTTATATTTTTGATGTAATACATAAATAATTCTGTAAGCAGATCATTTTATTTTGTTTAATTGTTTCATGTTAGTTTTCATTAATTTTGAAAAAAATAATAATTTTATATTTGACTTTCATTTCTGTATCTCATTCTATTTACATTACTTAGACATTTTACAAATTTGACAATGATATGAAAATTTAATCCATAGTTAATATCATTTAAATGTAGAATAGTTGTTTATTCATCTTTAAAAAATTTAATTTCAAAATAAAATAAAAATACACAAAGTATATATTAGTTTATATTAGCAATTGACTATTATTATTCTCTTCCAAATATTAAACATTTTTACAAAACTGAACTGATTTAGAACAATAATATATCATTGTTTTTAAATCCTGCAGTATGAACCTATATCATTTTAAGCTTTTATAAATTAATACTAACAATTGTTGATGTATGTAAACTTATATAAATCATGGTGCAATCTTTGTAACAGAAGAAAATCTTTCACATTTTCCTAAAAATAGTTTATCATATTAGTGTAATGATTTAACTAATTTGTTAATGAATGACTATGAAATCAAAAATACTATTTTAAGTCATTAAATTTGTTGTTACAAATTTCAATTTTTTAATAATATTAAAGACAAACAACATGAGTAATCCATTTGTGGAGCAAGTTATAAATTGATTAATGTATGAGTTTACTATGACTGGTCAATGTTACATCTGTCGTCATTAGATATAATATAGCTATTTATTTATATTAGGAAACAAATATACATCTGAATATTTATATAATAAATTTTAATCATTTGAAAGACTACATTTCATGAGTATTTTTATTAATATTTTGACTCTAAACTTATTTATCATCACCACTCATTATTTGTTAACAGCTGAAAATGCTTTTATAGGAGACTATGTTAAAAGTAATATTTGTTTATATTGTGTCTTCAATACTTTTCAATACAAAACATTAGAACTAATTAAAAAATAAACAAATGAAATTCACATATTTTTGAATAAAAATTCGTTTCTTTTAGCAAGAAGTAACTTTTTTTGATTTTTCAATTTATTTATGCTGGCATAAATTAGTCAATGTACAGTACTGTACAATCTATCAAGTAGTTTTAAATTCTTAAAAACACATAATTATTTTTCAGGTTATTTCCAAAGACAGTTTTTTTTTTTAGAAAAATGGAAGGTCAGGAATGGAGATAAAGCTCACAATGTTTTTAAATTAATTCAAACTGCCATATCTTATCATTACCAAAAAATGTTTTTATGTAGATAAAATTTTTCATTTTCATTGTACACTAATACATGAGGTTGATGATGGTTATGCAATTTGTTGTTAAGTTTTAAATATAAAATATGCAACAAGTAATACTGAATTTTTAAGATAAGAGAATAGGTTAAAAACAAACATTGATAATAGGTGCTGGCAGCTTAAGTGTTAAATAAACTAAAATTAATAATTAAAACTACTGAATCACTACAGAATAAAAATTTAAATACAAAATAATAATAATTTTGGAAATAACTTTTACTTACGTAACGTATAAGTAATCACAACTCCTGGTATGATATGTCCAATGAAAGCCAATACACCAAACACAGAACTAATAATGAAACAAAACTGCAAATAATACACAATATATATTTAAAATAATGTTAAATTAAACAATTCACAAAATTCAAATGTTCAATAATACATACAACTCCATGATTTCTATTTCTCAAATCCTGTAACCAAATTCCCCACTGTTTAATATACTTCCAACCTTCATCTAAATAGTGACTTAATTCTGGAGCACTGAGAACTTTTGGATGTACAGGAATCCAACTGTAAACAAAAAAAATATTCATGAAATCTGTCAATTTATTATTTTGTAATATAAATAAAAATCAAATTACTTCACTTACAAGTAACACATTAATAATCCAGTTCTAAATTTTATATTCATAAAAATATTCATTTGTTAGTGAAAATTTCCAGCAGTTCACCTTCAATAGTTTAGATTATTTTATACAGTTAACTTTATAACACACCAATAAAATTTACAACCTTGAAGAGCTGCAACTGTTATTACATAATTTTGGCAGTATTCCAACTATATGTTCTATCATCATATGACAATGAAGCAATAACAAACTGCTGTTATAAACACTTTTACATATGTAATCTATCTACTAATAATTCTGTAGTTTAAAAAAAAAAAAAAAACAGAACAATTACCTTTCACTGTCTTCATCCTCTGATGGTGGCACTAAAAGTAAAACAAAATTTATTGGAACATTTTCATATCAAATTACATTACAATTACTTATAGTTAAATATTTAAAACATTAAACATTTATACATTTCAAACATATTACAAACTAATAAAATATAACAGTAGTTTTATAAACAACTTCATATAATTTTTTCTTTTGTAAATTTTATACAAATTGCATAACTTCATTAGAAACAACAAAAAAATTCATTGCATTTATCATTTTGAAAGTATTTCAAGTTCAAGAAGGTCAGAAATGGAGATAAAGCTCAATGTTTTTGAACTAATTCAAGCTTCCACATCTTATCAATACCAAAAAATGTTTTTATATAGATAAAATTTTCCATTTTCACTGTACACTAATTCATGTGGATGATGATAGTTATGAAATTTGTTGTAAAGTTTTAAATAATTTTTATAAAAATAAAAAAATTATTAAAAATAATTTAAAAACTTATCTAAAAAAATTTTAAATGTTAAGTTTTTATAACCATATTAATTTATGCAACAAGTATATAATTTATGGAATAAAAACAGATTTTATCAAAATCATAAAATGTTACTTTAGATTATAACATTTTATAATTTTTAATTAATTCAACATAGCTAAGGTCATGTATACATCAATATATAACATAACTACACTAATTTATCCACTGATAAACATCTAGATCAGTAGTTGCCAACCTTTCTGACCTGACGGACCACTAAACACAGTTTTGAATCCTGTAGACAACTATCAAATTTTTTTAAACTACCGTATACAAACATTATGGAATAATGATGATAAAAGTTCCATTTCACTTTATTAATATGAAATTCAATTGTTTAATTATAACAAATTAGTGTGAAGTTTGTTGCTGCTTATTTGAAACTAGGACACTGCACGACTTTGTCACATCACAATAGAATTGAAGTAAAGCCAGAAGGAAAGAAGCTATCCCTGCATCTATTAGACACAGAAGAGACGATTCTTGTACAGTACCTGATGGACACAAACAGGTGAACTTTGCATTTGCCACCACAAAAGAGGCTATCTTCGTATCTGCTGATCATGGGAAACATGACCGTGGTCTCCTGTGGTTTGCATTGGGTCCCATCCTAGTATTGGCCAAGTATGGATGATCAAAGAACAGAGCAATCTATGGCAATTGCTTTGTTCTTGTGTTTTGTTCATTTTATGTGCCTATTTTCCATTGTGTGCACACAATACTGTTTTTATTTTCAACCCCTAGGCCTAAATTCCATTAGGTGTGCTCATCGCATCAGAGAGCATAGACATTGTCACTGTCATACCGTTGTATATCAAAAACAAAGTCATGGACTACTATTTTTTTACTTTCCTGGTTCTGTTATACATAACAGAGAAAAAAATATGGCAACTGGTCAAAAAATAACCCTTCAAAGTTTTTTACATTTGTGGACTTAGGGGTCCTTGAAACACAAAATACAAAGATGCAAAATACAAACAAACAAAAACAAATTATACAAAAACATTCAGAGTTTTATCTGTATGTATGGACGTTAATGTATGTGTGGGGCAAGATTTTGTTTACCCTCTTGAAGCTTAATAATTACTGTGCTTTCTGAAATTTTGCAGGAAGGTGTGTGTGTTAGAAAGATTCATGCTATTAAATTTTGGTGGTTAAAGGTTTAGGTGGTGGGGAGATAAAGAAGAGTGGTTGTGTGTCATATCTCAAGTAGGGTCAGACTTAATGACAAGTTTACTTGTTATTAGCATTTACAATTTTTATAAAACTCATTCCTACTCTCAAAATTAAGCTTTTTGCCATTTTATAATAATTAAAATTGTAAAGTTTTTTTTATAAATGAAATATTGTAACAGATACTGTCACCAAAATTTTTTATGTTGCCGGGAATGTTAAGTGATTCATTGCTGGATATTTTACATTTAAATGGCACTTCTGGATTCCTTGTCTCAATTAATGGAAAATGGCAGAGTTTTATCAAAATTGATTCTTTAAATTTTGAGAATGAACTTGATTCTATAAGCCCATTCAAGACATGTTAGCAACTGTGAAACATCACACGACAAAGTTGTGTGATTTGTGCAATATCACTTTGTCACATGTGCTCATAAAACAACCTTATATCTCAAAAACAAAGTCAAGAACTCCCATTTTTTATTGTAGCTTTGGATTTCACATCACAATTAATGGAAAATGGCAAAGTTTAATCAAAATCTATCAAATGGATTTTGAGAATGAACACAATTCTGTAAGCCTCATAGAAGAAGCTTCACTAATGCTCCACTTCAATATGTTTATGGATTCTTGGCTCTTCCATGAAGGATGACAATTGCACACACATTATTTATTGATATTATTATTTATTTATAACCTTCATTTTGTGCTTGGTTTTAGATTTTAATAAAAATCCCAAAGGAGTGAGAAAAAGCAACCAAGCATTTTGCATTTCTTTGTCCTACTTTGTGTAACCTAGAGTTGATCAATATCCAAATTTCTCCATGGACCACAAGTCAGTGACAACTCTCTTAAATATCTAAGTCACACAAATCTTTAAGATTAATATTTAAGCCTTTTCAAATCTCTTTGTATAAAATTTTGTAACTACATTCTTTAACTATTCAATCTTTAAAATTTAAAGTGAAGTACATTTAAATGAAGACTACCAAAATAAATATAAAATACAACTGTTCCAAAACTGTTGTTCAAAGACAAATCTCAAGATAATACCAAAAAGGTAAAAAATGTTAAAGATTAAATATCTAAAAGCACTGTTCATCACTAGATACATTAATCAGTAGCTCATCAATGACTGGATATTTATTGTTCAAATAACAAAAATCTTAAAAATCCAACAATCAAACTACTTAATAAGACTGGAAATGTTAATGTCATTAACAGACCAAAAACAGTGTGTTTAAATAGTTTGTGACTGCTGAATTTAATGTTTATTTTTATTAAATCAATTAATTAAATTTATAAGATTAGATTCTAAATCATGCCCAGAATATATTTAATCTTTATGGATTTTAAGGTTTTTAAAAATTTGTAAATTTTTATATTATTATGCATATATGTATATATATTTTAAAATCTATATCAAAAATCAGCAAATCTAATTAGCATTACAATATAAAATAGATCAAATATAACAATGATACTGTTGACATAATTCAAATTATGCAATTTAAAATCAAATATAATTTCAATAAGAGATCAGCTGAAAAAAATTACATTAATTTAATGTAGACCTACATAACTGATATAAAAATTTAAATGAATAATTCAAAGACAACACCAATGAATAAAACTAGATCTAAAAGTATATAATACTGTTGAATTTAGCAGGAACAAACAGAATTGAATAAAATTTTTTCAATTTGGAGATCTTTCCTAAAAATCTTCTAATGTTTATCATCATCATAAACAAACAATTATATTTTTATCTTTCCATTTTCAAATATTCTTTATTATTTTTTTACAAAAGACATAAGACAATACCCAATGGGCACAATAAGCCTTTCCCTTAATAACAATAAAAATAAATCAATTTAAAAGCATAAAAACAACATTTAAAAAAATAATAATCATAATAGACTAAACTACATATGATTTTCTTTTACATTGTTGTTTAAATTTTAAAAAATAGTCCAAAAGTAAAAAATTTTCAATGCTTTTAACATAAATTATGTCACAAAGACTTTCTTTTATAAATTTGTATATACAGTAAAGCATCAATTATCCGACTCAATTGGGGACTGGAGTTGGTCGGATAACTGAAAAAACAGATAATCGAAAAGTATGAAAAAATATATTATTAGTATAGTATATTAGTGTATCCCATGTAATTAGTATATTGCTATTAATCTACTTCGTGTTGAATTTTCATTGATGTTAAGCCTAACAAAAATTTTTTAAAATAATAATCGTCACTATTGTATCATTAAAAATTATTTTTAAATTATTTTATTGCTCACAAAACAAACAACCACTCATAATTAGAAAATTAAACTTCATTTAAATACTGGCCTCCTTCTCATGGTCGAGCCAGTGTTGCCAGCTAAAACACGCAAAAATTTAACAAAAATAACATTAAAGTAGCCAAGACATAGCCAAATTTTGTAGCACCACATCACTAGTGGACATTTGAATTTGCCAACTAGAACGCTGTTGGTTAACCGATGTGACGGTTGATTGGGGGTCAGATAATCGATGCCCTACTGTATCTAAATTTGAGTACAAAATATCTTAATTTCTATTTATCTCATTTTGGAGGGTTATTGTTTTTATTTATTTCATTTTGTTTATAACAGCTAATGTATCAATAAAAACTTATCTTAAATTTATCTAATCTTGTCCTTGTTTAATTACTATAACAATTAGATAAGTCACATCATTCAAAAACTGACTAAAATTACATATACAGTGGTACCTCAGGATACGACATGAAATTCGAACATATTTTTGTTCCACGATATGAACAAAAACTCACCATACGACGTTACATTAGTTCGCAGCGCCATTTTTTATTCACTTCTGTTCATTGGTCTCAGTTCGCGTGTTTGCTTCGTCGTGGAAGAATCTCCTCGATAAAGGAAATCTTGAGGTATTATCAGAAAGTGACTGATTTTATTGAAAAGAAACATCCCGAAAAGGTTCACACTGGCCATATTGCTATTCGGAGTAATGACATTTGCCTAAATCATTTTAGAAACATTTTAAAAAGTAGGCAAAGCCAAACCTCTTTGGATAGATATTTTACCAAGCAACCTCTATCAAGTAAAAGTGCTGGTGGAAGTGAAGGAAAGAAAGCAAAAAGCAGTGAATAAAAATTAAAATATATATATACATCAAACAACACTAATTTTTTTTATCTTTTCTAAGTTATTTTTAAGTTATTGTTACATTATGTTATGTATGTTAAATTTTAGTATCATTTCTCTTCTCCCTCTCTTCTGCCAACATTTTACACATCCACCGTTGTCTATCCTCAAAAGTAAAGTGCAA